TTGTTATATCTTGTGTCTGACATCTTTGTGGTTGTTTCGTGTCCCTTTTCGGTCATTTTGTGTGTCTTTGCAGTCAATTCTGTCTGTTTACAGTTGCTTTCTGTCTCTTTTTGAGCGTTTTGTGTTTTCCTGTCAATGTTTTCTCTTTTTCTGGTTGCTTTCTGTCTTTTCTGGTCATTTTGTGTCTCTTTGCAGCCTTGTTGTGTTTTTGTGGTTGTTTTTTGTCATCATAATTTTCTCTTCAACATTGTTGTGTCTCTCGTTGTGGTCATTTCTTTATTTTTGTGGTTGTTGTCTACTTCCATGTAGTCGATTCTGTCTCTTTGCAGCCATTTCCTGTCTCTTTGTGGTCATTTTATGTCATTTGTGGTCTTTTTGTGTCTCTTTGTGGTCTTTTTGTGTCGGTGTAGTTCTATTTTTTCACTTTGCAATTCCTTTTTGGCCTCTCCTGTTGCCTCTTTATGGTCATTTTGTGTCGCTTTGCAATTGTTTTGTGATGTTCTGTAGCCATTTTGCGTCTCTTTCTGGTTGTTTTCTGTCTTTTCAGGTCATTTTGTGTCTCTGCCATCGTTTCTCTTATGGTCACTTTAAGCTTTTTGTGGTCATGGTGGTTTTTATGTCTCTTTGAGGTTGTTTTCTGTCTCTTTGTAGTCAGTTCTGTCTTTTTTTAATCATTGTGTGTCTATTTGTGCTCATCACTGCGTCTCTGCAGTCGTTTTGTCTGTCTCTGTGGTGGGTTTGTGTATTTTTGTGGTCATTTCCATCCTCCTGAATGCGACGCTGATACTTACTCAGAGTATTTGTCATAGAACGGTGATCGCAGAAGGTAGTACAGCAGCAGGAAGCTTCTCCTCCTCATCTCGGCTCGCTCCCACCGATTCTGAAATTTGGCGTCACTGAGAACGGCGAAGCTAAAGAAAACAAACACAAATTAGTGTTCTCTGTTCGTCACGCCTCAGTGATGCATACTGTGAGTCTACAGAGGCACAAAGAGGAGACTGAGAGGTCTTCTGTGTGATCGTCACTCAGCGTTCCTCTGTCAGGTCTGATAGACGTCTTAAACCAACCGCCTCGGGTGAATGCTTTGAGACACACGGAGCAGCAATGGCTCAAAAATGATCAACAGGTTAGAAATGCATGGGAGTTTTTGGAACTTGTTCTTTTATCATGTGAATAAACTTTAAGTGACTACTTTTACACTTTTACTTGACTTCAGAACTTGCAAATGAGCAGTTTTCTTGCCGCTGAACTACTTATAGTGAAGAAACACTGACTTTCCTTTCTTTCATTTTGTAAGATTGATTTTAAATTGATAAAAATGTACATTTTAATATTAATTTCCACTCAAACCACATCAACAAAGTGAAAACACATTTTGAGAAAGTTTAGCAAATTAATTAAAAAGTCAAAAACGACTCTTTGTGTCCACGAGTCCTGTTTAAGTCAGAAACTTTTAGAATAAAGAAACTTCAGCCCTTATTTTCAGTAAAATAAGAAAGATTTTGTTAGAAGAACCTTTTTTTTCTTTGTTAATAAGTTATTGATGGTAGATTGATCAGAAAACGGCAATTTTATTTAGTCAAAATGAAAAACACAGTAAAGTGTGCAAAAAGTGAAGACCTCAACACTTTGTGCGACTATGGACAATAAACATATTATCACATCTCCATAAAAGGAATGCATTCTATTGTATATCCCCAAAACACGAAGGAAAAAAACTGTTAACAGCTTCTATTAAACGTCCTCATCCTCACAACAGAAGATTCTCTGAAAGAAAAGCCCTAAATTATCAAACAATATATATATAGTTATCTTTATATACTTCTTTAATAGTAAAATTGTGATAACAGTTCAGGTGTTTTTCTTCCTAGACAACAAATTACAATTATCAAATCAAATCAATCAAATCAAATCAGGTTTATTGTCATCTTGCTGTACATACACAGTAGTACAGGCAAGATGAGAGAGCGTTTCTTCAGGATTATTCAACCAGCAAATTTTGCAGAATGCACGTCTGGGACAAGACACTCACAACGTTCACCTTCATTGTCTCCTGAAGTGGCCGCTGTGTCACTATTAGCATCCTATATAAAGGTTCAGCTTGCTGTTTATGTTTTATAATCTGATGAGTGAGGTAACAGAGAACAGAATACTGCGAAGGAGGAACTAGTTTACCTGGAGAGTTCAAGGACTCCAGAGATGAGCCACGGCTTCCAGGACTGTTTCCCACAGAGTCCGAGGCAAAGTACTGCAGGCAGGAAGCACTGAATTAAGGAAAACTAATAAAATCACCTCCTCTGAGACAAACTAGAGTAAAATAATAACAAAACACAGGAATAATTGAGTACAAATAGTTTGAACAGCTTCACTTTGGTCACCTTTAAGTTATTCTGTGTGGTAGCGTGAGATCAGTGCTGTGCTTTTGGCTAAAAGGTAAAAATATCTCGACGTGTGGTTGATGGTAACACGATGTGAACAACTGTGAGCATCTTAAAGTTCAGGTTCACGCTCAGAGGACACAGGAAGTCTCTTATTATCTAACATATCGCTGCATGTGGACATTGTGTAACTCTCAGCTTCAGCTTGCAGCAGTTTGCCATCTAGAGTTCTGTTGTATTTATGCAGGACACGTTCAGACTCATCTTTATATTCTGCTTCATCAGATAGAAGCAACTGTCATTCAGATTTAAACCTTCACATCTACTGACAGGTTTTTAAACACGCTATCGTTGTTTTAAAGTATTCAAAATTACACCATTTATTAGAGTCACCAACTACAAAGTATTGTTATATTTTCCACTTTCCGATGGTCCTGGAATGAAAATGGTAGGAAACTGTCAGGACAAAGAACCAAATCTAAGATATTTAATCAAAATCACTTCATTTACTTATTCTCATGTAAAAAAAAAAAAAAAACAGTTTGCACCAGATCCTGTAAAAATCGATAAAAATTCTGTCGTCAGTGCAAACGAAAAGCCTCAGCTGCGACCAACAGAGACTTCAGCTGAACTATAGGCAGTGTTTCCACACAGCAACGAGGAGACGACAACAGACACTGATAGCAAAATGAAATAAAATCAATGGATCAATTAAACAAATGCAACACAGCTCAAAAAATCTAAAAAAAAATGGTAAATAGAGGAGCAAGTTTTCTGCAGATTAAAGGAAGATACATTCAAGCATGCTGAAATATCTTTCTACAGCTAAAGTGAAGAGTTTAAGTTTGATCAGCACTTCTGAGTTTGAAAAAAAATGTAAGTAGTGAAATATAAATGGTATGTAGGATGCACCTTTTTCCCAGTATTGTCAGTATAACACCTGTGGACACAAAATGTTTTACAGGTTGATTCCAGGTTTTCTCATTTTTTAAAAGATAAATAATGAAAGAAATTCAATGTTTTTGTGTCTTTTTTGTGATTTATGGCATTATAATTGTGTCTTAGTTCTCTCTACTTCTATTCACGGTTGTGTCGTTTCCATAGTGAGAAATGAGCCCACAGTGAGTCAAAATGTAACAGCAGCTACGATTACATGACATGACATCACTACTACTACATTTTAGTGATAACGTCATAGAGGAAAACTGGACAAGAACTTTAATTCTCGCTCATCTGGCGGACAAGAAACCTGGTGTCATTCAAAGATGAAGCATTTCTAACATGTTCTGTTCTCTAAGTGGACTTTCTAGTTCAGTTAATGATGAACATGACAACTGCGACAGTGACTGAAGGATACGGTGAACGAGCGGCCGTCCGATGTACACGGACTCAGCGATCGTCTCCTGAAGGCCCAGTTGTGTCGGTTTGCTGTTGAGTTTGTCCCTCAAGCTGACCCTCCTCTTCCTCTGATTCGGAGCTCCCCACAGCCGAGTCTGCAGCGTCGGCGCTGGTGGGCACAAAGATGGGAACTTACTTACTCGGAAATGTGAATACTGGTCTTGTTTGCAAGTTTTACGGTTTCTCATGTTGCTGTAGTTTCATTTACATCCTAAAATTTCATCTGAAAAAACCTGCTGTTATTTAACAATATATACACACACACACACACACACACATATACATATATCCGTATAAGGTGGGTTCATCCTAAAATTGGTCCAACATGGTGTTTTCCTGGCTAAACAAATCAACAATAAAACATAATAATTAACAGCATGCAAGCTTACAGTCAGTTAAAAAAAAAAAAGTGGCCACTATCTGTTAGAAAACTGCTTAAAACCTGCCTTTTTAAAATTAATGTCAGGTTTTGTTTGTTTTTTGAATTCAAACAGGCAGAATTTTGCAGTTAACTTTTTTTTTTTTTTAAATACATGCTATTTTTTCATTTACAAAGAGTTTAGCACTCAAAAACACACATATGCACATATTTAATTAGAATTTTATGGTAGCAGAGTTCAGCTTTTCACAACTAAAATATTTATATTAGAGATAAATTGTTAACTTCTGGATAATAATTGTAAATGAATTATTGATAGCTCACATTTCTTTGTAGTAAATATTTGGAATAAAGATTTGAAATGACACACCAACCAATTTTATTTAAAGGCTTTTGATGACGATTGCTCATTCAAACTGATGTTCTGTTTAACTGGTTAAAGATTCACGTGCAGTTTGTTCAATAAAATGATGTTCGAAATTATTTATGTGTTTTCTAGTCTAGTCAGTGTTTGGTGTCTCTGTTTGCAGTTTACTTAATAAAGTAGAAAGACACATGAGCTGTGGGGCTAATACACTAAAATACTTCAAGTCAGCATTGAAGCATATTATCACACACATCAGATTTTCCTCACATTGTGCAGGATAATGTTTAATGAATGTATTCAATAAAGATGCAGAACATTCTAACTTGCGAGTATAGTGTCGAGTACAGATCATATTTCTTGACAAATATTTTAAAACTCTGGCGGTCCCCAACAGCTGACATATTGTTTACTGCCACTGTAGCTAATAGTCAGGACACCCTGATGGACGAACTTGAACTTCACAAGGTCACAAAAGGTTTTAAAAGCCAGTAAATACTTCTTAACAGGTATTTTAAAGGCAGCGTGACTTCTCATTTAAATTCCAAACACTTTGCTCACGTTTTGCCTTCAGGAGTAAATGCAATCTAGAAGTTTCACATTTCTCAGCGTTCCTGCCCCACGTGACCTTCCTGTAGATTTTATGAAAAACATTTTCTAGTCTATCTTATTTTTCGTCTTTGTACGTCCTGGAAGCAGAAGGTGGACCAACTGAGAGCAGCCTTCCTCTTTCGATCAAATGTTCCTCCTCCATAGTTGTTTTTAAGAAAACTCTTACATGGTTTTGATGGCTTTGTTCGCCTGTGTGTTTATTTTCTTTTAGACATTGATCTTACAAATTGTCTTACAACTAATTATCTTGTTGTTTTTTTTCTTAGGATTTTATTTTTATTGATTTTACACTTTCTTTTTTTTAATCCAGTTTTCTGTCGGCATTGTTGCACATACTTTTTCTTGCTGTCGGTCGTATAACATGCACAGCACTCTGGTCAACGATGGCTGTTTAAAACATGCTACATAAATAAACTTGGTTTGATTTGACCCTTCAAATGTGTAAAAATTGCCTTTTGTGGTTATTAAAGCAGACTTCAGAGCAAACGAACAGACGAAGCATACTGCACTGACGTAAATGACACTGATACCTTACTCAGACACGAGGACTAATTTGCTCTTCAGGTGTTGCGCTCATATAAGCATCACTGGTGTAAACAGGCTGACAGCCAGCATTATGACAGTTGTTGCACAGAAACCTGATACACAACTAATTGTCATGCCATCACAAACCTCAGAAAATATCCCATTTCAAGACTTTTTAAATCTTACCGCTGCCCAGAGGGCGGATGACTCGTCCTGACCTCTGGCCCACAAAGCAGGCGTCGTCCTGCTGCTCCCCGTCGGCCTCATCTGTGGAGAAAAGCACCACCTCATTCAGACTTTATACATTTATGCAGCAATTTGTCGTTACAAGAAGCAGGAAAGGAGGAGTAGAAACCATTTGTGCACTTTAAAGGAGCCTCTGTTCATTTATTTTTTGGCCCTTTCACAAACATCCAGCTATAGAGCCATGTTAAAATTCATTAGCAGGGTTTTTCCTGCTTGTAATGAGCCTTTGGGGGGTGAATACACACAACAGTGAGCATGACGGGTCTGGAAACAGTAAAGACAATGAGTCTGTTTCCCTATTTCCCTATTTCTTGATGAACAAAAATTATGCAGAGCAAATGAAATCCCAATTTTAAAAACTTAAAATGTAGTTTTTACTTCTTGTCATTCTGGTGCTGGTCATCCTGCTTTCAGATTAGATGAACTGTTAATATCTCACATGTTAAACTGGCTTCAGTAGTAGTCATGCTAACTGCTAGCAATGCTATCGGGCTTATTAGCATTTTTCTTCAGACTATGGATGCAGTCTGTATGCTATCATCTCTGCATTGGTTTCCTTGAAAAACAAAAGGAGAGAAAACAGCTTCTTTTTTTTTTTTTTTTCATTAAAAGGTTGAGGACAACTGACCTTCACCGACACACTCTGCACCTCTGTCCAGGGGGATTATGGGAGGTGAAGTCTGGATGCCAGACTTGTACCACAGAAGAAGCACAAGGCGAAAAACTGCCCTGTGGAACAGTAGACAGGGAGTATTACAGTCCTACAAGAAGCAATAGATGCTGATCAATTCAATAACAAAGATTCTGCTCTGTTGGGGTGCAGAGCCGTCGTTAATGTGGTTAGAAACATGTGTTCTTATCCACTGTGAAAAAGGTGGATTAAAAACTATTCACTGTAGCTGAAAGAGTTAATACACATAATGCAGATATGGCATTGTTTGAAATTTAGTAAAACACTTGAACTGCAAACAAATCAAACAAGAAAAGCCACATTTGACTACAAAATATCAAAAACTCACATTTTAAAAGGGTGAACTCCCACACACACACACACACACACAAACACACATATAGATAAATAGATAGATAGATAGATATATAGATACATACAGCGCCCTCCATAACTTTTGGCACCCCTGGTTAAGATGTGTTAAAAGCCTTAAAATGAATTCAGTTTTTATTGCAGAAGCATACCCTCACACTGAAAATTGTAGAAAAATGTAACCTTTAACTCAACTCAAATGAATAGTTGGCAAAAGGGGGTTGTACAAAGTATTAACATCAAGGGTGCTAATAATTGTGGCACACATGATTTGATGTAAAAGAATTATTTTTAATGTGGGATTTTTTTCACACTGAATAAATGCACTTGAATTAAAGGTTGAAGTTTCCTCTTTTTTTTCATTGTGGTCCTGTATTATTTAGAAAAAAACTGAATGTACTAGAAGCTAAAGAACACGTCTTAACCAGGGACGCCAATAATTATGGAGGGCGCTGTATATACATATATATATATATATATATATATACACACACATATATATATATATATCGATCGCAGTGCCAGTGTAAAATTAACATTATTGTTTCATTTTTTTTTTTGAAAAAACAAAAAACACCCCAGGTCACAACAGGAGGAGGAGGAAGGAAGGAAGCCGTACTTGAATACATGAATGAGTGTGATCACCAGCCAGCGGCCGACTTCCCCCCACAGCTTGCAGGCTCCCATTTCCAGGAAAACCTCCACATGCTCGAGCACAGAGAGCCAGTTCAGGAGCCGCTGCTCGGACAGAGACTGAAAACAAAAGCAGGAACACCAGTGATCATTTTGAAACTGCAAAGTGAAAGCTACACACACAAGGAAAAACATGTGTGAAGTGGACTCCAGCCCCCCCGTGACCCTAGTGAGAATTAAGCGGTGTATAGATAATGGATGGATTATTGACCAATCTATAAAGTTGCTAATCACTGACAGGAGGTAAGAGCGCAAAAGGTGACTGAATCAAGGGGCATGAAAAGAAAAGAGAATGACTTTGTTGGCAGCTTGAATTCAAACTAACCAGAGATGATTCCACCTGATAGAGAACTTCAACAAATTTGGGGAAACAAAAAACAAAATAACTAATCTAATCCAGGCAACCATCAGCGTTTGTCTCCCATCAGAAGATTTAATTGAGCATAAATTCATTTTGGAGTGAGTGAAGGCTGAGTTTACAGAACAGCAGTGCTCACCTCAGGGAGGGCACACTTCAGTCCTTTACGCAGAATGCTGTCATTGAACAGCACCAGGAGATTGGAGGCAGAGTACACTGAAAAAGACGCAATATATGAGCGTATCTTTTCAACATGTTGTGAAAATAGCACAATATATATTGTACAGTCATATAATCACAGACAAAAGCCCCATGTTGAATCATAACGCTAACAAAACTACAAATTGTGCTTCAAAGAAAAGTGCAAAGACAACAGAGCTGCTGGTTATCACTATGAGGACTGAAACTAACATTATCCACTAATCTGGTAGTTGTCTGATTAATCATTTATTCTATGAAATGTCAGAATTTAGGCTCTCAGAAACCCCAGACCCAAATATATTTAAGATTCAATGAGAAACCCTCAAATTTTAGAAGCTAGCATTTGTGACTTTTAATGAAATGTTTAATCCATTATGAAAATAATTAATTAATATCTGTAGATTGGTAATTAACAGTTTCTACAAAAATCTCTACTATTGCTACGATAGACAGACCAACATCTGATTTATAAAACTCCCTTAAGTTTTTGTATAACAAGTCATTAACACAGAGAAAACCTGTCGCAAATGTAGCTGTATCATTCCATCGTTAGTACTGAAAAGCCGCAATCAGTTATTTTCGTTATCAAGATGTCTGATGGCTGTCACTGAAAAACTGATTCCACTGAAATTAGTCAAATATGTCCACCAGTATTCCCTAAAGCTCAAGGCAACTTATTAAAAAACGCTTTGCTTCGTTTTGTCTGAAGAACAGTCAATAAAGACCAATATTTTGAGTTAATAATTATAACCACAAAAAACAGAAACCGAGCAAATATTCTAATTTTAAAGTTTTTAAAATTTAAAGTTTTCAGAAACCGAGCAAATATTCTAATTTTAAAGTTTTTAAAATTTAAAGTTTTTTTTTTTTTTTTTACTTAAAATGACATTAGTTGCAAAAATCAATGCCATGTCAGCTCTGGAGTCGTGCTTGGCTTCTGGGCGAAATAATGAAATCGCCATTTATAAAGTGGGTCAGTAGAGGCCCAACCATAAATTTTTATCTCAGGGCATTTCATCAAGTCTTTGACTTTAACAACCTGGAAACAGTGGCTGCATTGACACTTGACTTTGACTTACCTAGTTCAGATAATTCATGGGAATCTGTAAATCGTCCTGCAAAATAAAAAGACACAACATGCAGTCATGATGTGTTGCAAAAACTAGCGTGATTTAGTGCAGCATAAGAACTTGTAGGTACAGTACCCAACATAAGTGAGTACACTCCTGTGCACAAGTACTATCAATAGATTCTGACCTGTACCACCTCTCGATAAATGCATTTTTTCTAAGTTAAACTGTAAAGTGTTTCCTCTTACATACAAGACTATATTGAAAACACAGACACCAAATTAGAAATTTGCAGCAACAACAGTAAATACAACCGTGGTCACTGACACACAAGTTAGGAAACCTGTGATTATTGAAACTGAGCACACTTGTGATTTCCAATGAGCCCAATGGCATAAACATGGTTATAAAATGACCTGTAAACACCACAACTTTCTTGGTTTTGGACCTATGGCATGTCTACATCATTGCCAGGGTACTGCACAACGGTGGAAAAAGATACAGGAAGAACTGTGATCAACCAAAAATCAATGAAACACCGTTGCAGCAGTAATCAATAGATATACAACGAGCCATGACAGCACTAATCAGAGCTGCAGGGGCCAATGGAAATCAAAGTTTCTATGACTGTGACTGTGCCTCAGCTTTCCATTCACATGTGGACAGATGCTGTCTGACAAGATGAGAAACTTGGCAAAAGAAGAATATTACAACATGATAACATCCAGATCACACTGCCAACGTGGGGCCTGTACTTTTATATAGTGGATCTAAAATGTCAGTATTTAATTTGACATTGCAGCAAATATTCAACTGTTCGGCTTAGAAGTAATGCAATTACTGTAAGATGAAACCATGTTGAATCTGTGGACAAATAAGTGATATTTCACAGTTTTATACTGTGCTGATTTAATTTTCGAAGTTAAAAACGAAACTTATCTGTGATGCAGAAGAAGGTTCAGTTTAGTTGCATGCAGTTGGCACTACTTTAGAGCTTTGACATTGCTTATGAACTTTTTATTTTGCATCAGAGGAATCCGGCTGTGACTCACCTGCGATCAGGTAGGACAGGGTCCGCACCGTGTTCTCCAGCTGTGCTGTAGCAGCTGGGTTCTTCCTCACATACTCCGTGTAGCGCTCATAAACAGCGCTCACTTTGTCCATGTACTCCTTAATTTGAGACATTTCAGCTTCAACTGACACATAAACTCTTCATTTAGCCCCTGTGTTCACAATAAACCCGATGTTTGGAGTAACAAGTTAGTTTTTAACTGATTTCTTGCACCTCCTCTTCGAAAGTAAAGAAACTTCCGTTTGGTTGAACCGACCGCTATTTGTGTCCCCCCCGCTCTCAAGGTTACAACACTTTGGTTCCGACGGGCTCGATATATGCCGGGTTCTTCTTCCGGACACGTTATTGTTGCATCAGCATCCAAACATCCAGCACTGTGGCCATGTCGACTCCAGCAGAGACAGGTACTCTTAATAATGTTTGTTTTCTACCATGCAGCCTGCTTTGGTGGAAACCCGCCAAGCAACTGCGACTGAATGTGTTTTTAGGAGCTGTCATAGCTAATAAGCTAACGCTAGCTATATTGGCTCGCTAATATGTGAAAGCTGCAGGCGAGCGTCTTTGCTAACCTGTCAGTGAATGGTAAACAGAACTCCATTTAAAAATGTGGCTATTTAATTTCACACTAAATGGAGTGTAGTATATCGGGAAAAAGACACACAGGTCAACAAATAGGATTCAGCAGCTTCTCTAAACTGAAAATACACTCTTCACTCCTGCACATTTATTCAGACAAGCAGGCTTTTGTTAAGAACCCTAAATTTAAAGTGTTATAATTGTAAGTAAAATGTTTAATAGAGTTTGGTGTGCAGAAGAGCCTCCTGTTTGGTCAGCTAGAATTCAGTTGCAGCTCTCTTG